GTTTGTCCCTTCGCTTAAGGAGTATGACGTGCTTATTCATCTTGATCCTAAAGCGTTGAAGAATGCGATGAGGACGTATGAGAATGTTGATCCTGCTGAGGAGGTGGGGGAGGGGAGGGGGAGTAAGTTTAAGAATTTGGATGTTGTTACTGGGGAGGATTTACTCCCTTTAGTGGCGCACCCGGCGGAGGTCTTGCTGGAGCAGTTTGGGAAGGTATTTGGGGGCCCGTTGGTGTTTTTTTGGGGTGGGGAGGGGGATAATGTTGTGGGGGCGATTTGGAATCCGGGGATGGAGAGGAGGGTATTGAAGGGGGGAATGTTGGCTAGTTATAGGCCGGGGAGGCAGCAGCAGGAGGGGGATGGGGAGGACAAGGTGGAGGTGGAGATGAATAAGGAGGCGATGGTGGGGGAGATGGCGAGGTTGGGGGGGGATTTGGTGGAGAGGATTGAGATGAGGTAGGTAGTTTGACTGGCTGGACATAATTTGAGGGTGGTATATGGAAGGGAGGGTAAAGGTGTGCATCATTTGGAGTTTGGAAATTTTAATAAACAATACCCTCCCTTGCAGTATACACGACTCGAAAGATTGTCATTGAAATAACCCACCCAAGCTAAATAACCCACTCAAGCTTATGACATTATAAACCTGTGTAACTAGTTATAGTTCGGTTCCGGTTCAGTTTAGTCATGCCTAAGCCAACTCCATATACTCACCTCACCCTGTGGATTACATAGAGCCGCAGCCAGTAAGTAACCCGATATCACCAACCACGCTCCCAATTGTCATTGAATGCCAGAGATCGAGCAAAAAAAAAACATGACACAAATTCCATTTTATGGTATCTACTTCCAACAAACTCACCCCCCTTTCCACCATCTCAACTCCCCATCATCTCCTCAACCCTTCCCCCAAGTCCTCGGTCCTACCAATACCCCGCCCTCAACCCCGTAAAACCACCCATAACCCCCCCATCCCCATCCTTATCCTCCCTCTTCCTCTGACCGGTCAACTATAAATCACTTTTCGTCAGCACACACATCCCCCCCCCCCTCACGTCACAACCCTGTCAAATCACACTGACATGATCACTTCAACCTTGTCCCCTTACTCACCTCAAGCTGCACCCCCCTGTGCACCGCCACCAACCAATCCACATAACCCTGCGCCTCATTGTTCCTATCCTCCACCAGCAACCTCGCAAACTCGTACTCGGCCCCGTCCAACCCCTGCCTCGCCAGCTGCACCGTCAACCCCTTGCTTCCCCTCATCCCCCTCAACCACTCCAAAATATTCCTCACCTGCGCATTCAAGTGCGTCTCCAACACCGGCAGCTGGCTCGTGTACGCGTCCAGCTTCCTCAGCTCGTCCATTCCAGGCCCAAACAAGTCCTCAATCAGGTTCGGGCTCGTCTGGGCGTGGAACCAGATGAGGAGCTGCTGGCCATTGTCCACAATGTACACACCCCCGGGTTCGACACGGGAGAAGGTGGTGCGGGTGGAAGGGGGCATCTTGAGGTGTCCGGTGGCGGGGTCGGGGAAGCCATCTTCGGGAGCGAGGTTGTGAATGGGTATCATCCTCGGGTAGAGGTAGAGAGACAGTTCCAGGCAGCCCATGGAGCGAATCATCCTCATCTCGTGCACCCTCCGGTCAGATGTTTCATTACCGCCCTTGAAAGCACGGGATTTGATCATGCCAAGCATGTACATCGCAAACTCCTTCAACCTCTCCGGCATAACCAGCTGTCCGGGTGGATGCGCCTGAGCCAGAAAATTCTTGCGGTACATGGCCAAGACATCAATCGTCTTCTCCGTAAGACCCGCCCGGACGTCCTTCAGACTACTGCTAGTAGTAGCAAGCTTGGTGGAGGCTTCCTTTGCAAGAATAGTGTAGACAGCATCCTGGTCAATAAACTTGATGCTCTCTCTCGCCTGTTCGCTAACACCAGCGATGACGTTCAAGCAGCGGACTCTGCGCTGGCCGGAGGCGGTGGTGTAAAGAAGGGCAGCCTGGAAGTGGGCGTCCAGTTTGGAGTCGAGCTTGCCGTCGTAGCCAAAGGTGACACCAAGGGCTTTGTCGGCATCAATCACACCGATCTCCAGGTCGGCGCCAAATGTGTGCTGGATGAAGTTGCCATGATAGGCCGATACCTGAAGGCCATTGGAGCACCTGACCTTCATGAGGGCCTGGTAGCCCGTCTCACGGGTTACGGCGTGCTTGATCTCAAGGGAAAGCTTGGTGTTGTCCCTTCCAGCAATGAAGTTGGGGTAGAAGAAGGTCTCGCCGCCAGTGGTGGCAGACACATAGCCTAGTTCCATGTCAGCGGGTCATTTCGATAAGCAAACAAAGGTAATACTTACCAACAGTGGCAATATCAAGATAACCCCCGGAAGGCGACGCCATAAAAAAGTCAACACCAGCACCAATAGAAACCAGCTTCTCGGCCAATTTCCTCCAGGCCGGGTGCTCCGTGCTAAACAACTTCTTGTCCGGCTCACCATTAGGATGCTTTCCATCATCCCTCATGAACAAACGTCCAGGACCCCAAGTAGGCAGCGCAGCCAACGAGCAGAAAATCTTGCCACCAGTCTTTTCCAGCGCACCCACAACCGCGTTCAGGGTAGAAAGCAACGCCGGCTCCGGGTTCTTGATGTCCGAAAACATCTGCGGCAGCCTCGTCAAAAGAGACGTGATGACCGTCTTGGACTCATAAGGATCCACAAACAAGCCCTCGCTGAGCGGAACAAAAGGATCCTCAATGTCCGGCATAATCATCATCTGAGCCTGCTCCAACGACGGGCTCACATTGTAAAAGTGAACCTCCTTGTCGTAAGTCACGAAGCCAACCTTGGCGCCCGCCGGTATCCTCCTCTTCACCTCTCCATTCTCATCCTTCTCCTCGTCATCCTCGGGAGCATACAGAGCACGGAGAATGCCCTCGCAAAAGGCCTCCAAGTAGCCCTTGTTGAAAGATTCCTGGGTGACGTCAATGACGAAAACGTAACGGAGACCAACTGGCTCCCTGGTCCAATACTCCTTGGGCACCACAAACTCCACGGTGCCCCGCATAAGCTCTGGGCGCTGGTCGCGGTCCACGCGAACACCCTGGGGGCTGGTGGCACAGAAGTATTCGGGAGGGGTGTCGTTGGCATAGTTGCACAGGTTGCACACAAACTTGTTGCCGCCGGAGCGGAAGATCATGAAGGGGTTGATGTAAGCACGGCATCTGTGGCAGCGGGGCGGGCCGGCATCACCAAAGTCCAAGACGGGAATCGGCAGCTCGCCGGCTTGGAGAGGGGCAAGAGGCTGCAACACAAGACCCAGGGGCAGTGCTGTGCTCTTCAGTCCTTCGGCCGTGGCGGGAATGTTGGTCAAACTCAGACGGGCAAACTTGGGGGATGAGTTTCCTTGGTCAAAGGCGACGAAGGAGGTGGTGGCGGGAGGGGGAACCAGGCGCTCAAAGGTAGGATAGACGTTGGTGAGGAAGTATTGCTGGACCGAGTCCCGGGAAAGGGGCACACTTGGCATCTCGTCAGGAGATACTCTGTCCTGGCCCCCGCTAGAAACCATGGTGGCGGAGGCAGTGGCATCACCAAAGCCGCCACCCCTCGCCGCAAACTCGGCGGGTGAAGCCGGAACAGGGTTGAAGCCTGGGCTTACCGGCGCTGGGAACTGAGAGCCACCATAGCGAGCACCGGCAGCCGAGGGCTCGGCGTTGAGAAAGGCTGTAGCAGGTGTTCCAGCTGGAGGAATGCCATTGAAGGGCTGTGATGATCCCACGGCCTCGACCTGATGGTAGGCATGGCGGTCCTTCTTCTTCCTCCTCGCCGCACCGTGACCCGCATCAGGACCCAGGCTCATTCCTCCCATCTGAGCGGCCAAACCACCATCATCGGCAGGAGATTGCTGACCCTGGAAATGACCTGGCTCTCCTGCTGGGGGAGCTCCATATCCCGGAAGCTGAGGCGGAGGGGGAACACCGGCTGGGGAAGGGGTGCCGTAGTACGGCTGCTGTGCCGGAGGTGTTGGCGCACCATATGGGGAGGAGGCCTGGGGCTGGTAGGGGTTCGGGGCAACTGGTGGTTGGAACTGAGGAGCGGCTGGTTGGGTTCGACGATGGGGATCGTTGGGATCGATGTTCTCCCCCTGACCCAGGGCGTGGTACATGCCGAACTCGGCCATGTTGTCAGTCTCGGGACGGGAGCTGGATGGAAAATCGGCGGTTCAATGTTCGAGTCGTTCGGTCAGGTGCTTGGCTTGTAGGCGAGCTTCGTTCGGTAGTTGGCCGTTGTATGTAAGTTGCTTGCTGCTGATACGGGGCCGGCACTAAGGGGTGATAATTGTGGATCGATCGATCGAGGAGTGTTTTGAGCTGGGCGAAGCTTGGGTTCTAGAAGTCGTCCTCGAGATCGTCACCGGGGATTTGAGTGTTATAGCTGACTAGTGCTGGTCACAATCAATCAGAAGAACCAGAAAGTGTCCTCTCTTAATAACAGAGGGGTCCGTCCCACCTTGGCCTTCAAGGTCGAGCTGTCCTTTTTTGGCTGTCGCATGAGAGGCCCCGCGGCTGGTGGAAGCAGGGGTTGGCGGTGCCTGGCCGTCTGGACCTCCACCTGTCCACTCGGCAGCTTCCGCCGACTGGATTGATCCTTGCGCCAGTGTCATGATTCTGCCGCCCGACACCGCTTAGGACAGGATGCTAAATAGACTGTGTTGGAAGCAAAGAGTTGGAGAACACATGTAATTGTTTTCTATCAGTGGCACAGTGTCTTTAGCCCGTCCTGTCTTTAATCGATAAGCTTTCCTGCAGCCTGCTACCAGTCCGTCGCGTCCCATTTACAGTGACGCGCTTCAAGAGGCTCTCCATTTACGGGGCTGTCTCTGGCGCATTTCTGCTGCGCTCAGCCTTGGTTTCTTCATTGCTTGCCAGAAACAAAACTTGACTACAAAACATGCGCCATTCCCGGCAACAATTGACCACCATCCATCAACTACTTCAGCCATGTTTAGCTTCTGCCCATTACAAGGCGCCCTCTCCGAGTCCACAGCATCACAGTCGCTACTCGAACTCGATGGGGGTGTCAAGATCTTGGTGGATGTTGGCTGGGACGAGACCTTTGCTGTTGAAAAGCTCAGGGAACTAGAAAAGTATGGATTACTTCCATAGATATGATTCAATGGGCATGGCCACTAACTGCTTATTCCAGACAAGTCCCGACTCTATCATTCATCCTCCTGACCCATGCGACTGTCGCCCACATCGGAGCCTATGCGCACTGCTGCAAACATATCCCCCTGTTCTCAACCATCCCCGCCTATGCGACACGCCCAGTCATTGATCTCGGCCGTACCCTGACACAAGATCTCTATGCCTCCACCCCATTAGCTGCGACGACAATACCAACGTCCTCACTCGCCGAAGTGGCCTACGCATCATCCCAGGCCCCATCACTGAACCCCAACCTGCTGCTTCAGCCACCATCCCCCGAGGAGATCACACGATACTTTGCTAATATTCAGGCCGTACAATACTCACAACCACAACAGCCTCGATCCTCGCCATTCTCCCCAGACATCACCAACTTGACAGTCACAGCTTATAATTCGGGACGGACACTCGGTGGAGCCATCTGGCACATTCAGCACGGGCTCGAATCTATTGTCTACGCCGTCGACTGGAACCAAGGCAAGGAAAATGTCTTTTCAGGTGCCGCTTGGCTGAGCGGTGGACATGGCGGGGGAGGCAGCACCGAGGTCATCGAACAACTCCGAAAACCAACAGCTCTGGTGTGCAGCAGTCGAACACCCGACGCCACCCTCTCTCGTGCCAAGCGTGATGAGCAACTCTTGGAATCGATCAAGCTCTGTATTGCGCGAGGAGGGACAGTCCTGATACCGGTCGATTCAAGTGCCAGAGTCTTGGAGCTTTCATATCTTCTAGAGCACGCCTGGAGGAACGAGGTGGACAACAACAACAACGAAACATTCAGAAATGCGCAGCTGTATCTGGCCGGTCACAGCATCGGCAGTACTCTGAAGCACGCCAGGAGCTTGTTCGAGTGGATGGACGACAAGATTGTGAGGGAGTTTGAAGCCGCGGCTGGTGGCAAGGAAAGCCACAGCAGGGGCCAGAGGGGCGGACATCATCACGACCATAAGGTGGCCGGACCGTTCGACTTTAAGCACCTGCGGCTGCTAGAGAGAAAGGGACAGGTTTCGTGGGTTCTCAAGCAAGCACTTGAGGATCTTGAACCAAAAGGCCGGGTTATTCTAGCTACAGATTCCAGCCTCGAGTGGGGCTTCTCGAAGGAGGTTCTCAAGTCCATTGCCGGTGACGCAAGGAATCTTGTTCTTCTAACCGAAAAGCCAGCACTGAACGAGAACAAGCCATCGATCGCCAGGACACTCTGGGACTGGTGGAAGGAGAGAAAGGACGGTGTAGCAACAGAGCAGACCACCAGTGGCGAGACCTTTGAACAGGTCTACGCCGGTGGGCGAGAACTAGAGATTGCTGATGCGTCAAAACAGGCGCTGGAAGGTAACGATCTCAGTGTTTACCAACAGTGGCTTGCGACAAAACAACAACTGCAAGCCACCTCACATGGCGGAAGTGGAATGACTTGGGAAGCCTGGACCGACTTGAACGATGCTCTCTCCGACACGTCCACCGAGTCTGAGGAGTCGGAGACGGAACAACAGGGCAAAGCACTCAATATTTCTGCCAACATCAAACAAGCCAGCCGAAAGAAGGTCGTCCTAAACGACGAAGACTTGGGTGTCAACATCCTCATCAAGAAGCGGGGTGTGTATGACTACGAAGTCAGGGGTAAAAAGGGGCGAGAAGCCATGTTCCCAGCAGTAGCCCAACGAAGACGTCACGATGAGTTTGGCGACCTCATCCGACCAGAAGACTACCTCCGCGCCGAAGAGCGAGAAGTAGCCGACAGGCAAGAAACCGACCCAGCCAAGACCAAACAAGAAGACAGCTTGGGCAAAAAGCGAAGTCTCATTGCCGTCAACGCCGCCAACAAGGCCACGGCGAACAGCAAACGGGAAAAGCAACCCGCCCGTGCCCACTCGGACGAGCCAGACGATGCCAGCGCCACTGGCGCCCCAGGAAATGGTCCCCACACGGAAGAAGTAGACGAACTGGACGAGGAAGAAGACGCCCCCGTCCTCGGACCTGCCAAGCTCGTCATGACCACTCACAAGATCAGCGTCAACCTCCGCATCGCGTTTGTCGACTTTTCCGGTCTGCACGATAAACGCTCGCTGCATATGCTCATCCCGCTCATCCAGCCCCGTCGGTTGGTTCTCGTCGCGGGAACGGAGCAGGAATCACAGGCTCTTGCGGCTGACTGCAAGAAGTTGCTTTCTGCGCAGCTGGCGGCTAACTCATCCAATGAATCGGCGACGGTGGATGTGTTTACACCCCCGGTGGGGACGTTTGTGAATGCCTCGGTGGACACGAACGCCTGGGTGGTGAAGCTCTCGGATTATCTGGCCAAGAAGCTCAAATGGCAGGATGTTAATGGGTTAGGCATTGCTACTATTACGGGTGTGCTACTTCCCGGAGGGGGGTTTATTCCCTCGGACGACCCCAACGATGAGGGGAATAAACGGCAGAAGACGGAAGAAGGGGGGTCGCCTTCTTCGAGTATGGCGTTGACCACGGTCAATAATGATGCCAACCCGCGCACCCTCCCTACGGTGGATGTGCTACCGGTTAACCTGGCGGCTACGGCTACGGTGAAGGCGGCTTCGCAACCGCTTCATGCGGGGGATCTGAGGCTGGCGGATCTGAGGAGGGCGATGTTGCATGCTGGGCACAAGGCGGAGTTTAGGGGGGAGGGGACGCTGTTGATTGACGAGACGGTTGCGGTTAGGAAGAGTGCTGCTGGGAGGAT